TGGTTGACTAATATCTTTAATATTATTTTAGAGATTGCCAAGATGCCAGAGGAGTGAAGAGAGTCTACGGTGATACCAATCTATAAGAATAAAGGAGATCCCCAACGTTGTGGTAACTACATAGGTATTAAACTACTCAGTCATACCATGAAGCTATGGGAAAGGGTGATAGAGGCTAGGTTGAGACAAATTACTAGGGTTACGGAAAACCAATTTGGCTTTATGCCAGGCAGGTCTACTACGGAGGTGATTCATCTACTTCGACGACTTATGGAGAAATATAGGGGGAAAAATAGAGATCTTCACATGGCGTTCATTGACCTTGAAAAGGTGTATGATAGCGTTCCCCGTGATACAATCTGGAAGACCTTGGAAACGAGATGGATCCCAACTGTTTATATCAGGGTGATTCGTGATATGTACTGTAGATCTACTACATACGTCAGGACTACAGTTAGCGACACCAAGGCTTTCCCGGTGGAAATCGGACTCCACCAGCTATTAGCCCTTACATCTTCGCCTTGATTATGCACGACATCTATTGTGCGACACCAGACGGTGTTCCATGGTGTATGATTTTCGCTGACAACATTGTCCTAGTTGCTGAAACAAAATCTGAGTTGAATAGTAGACTGTCTACCTGGAAGACTGCTTTGGAAGAAAAAGGTCTAAGGATCATTATTGAAAAGATAGAGTATTTATGTTCAAACTTCAGTGGGAACCAAAACGATGAAGATGTAGAAGTATGCATCGAAGGACACGTTCTCCCCTCAAAGGATTGTTTCAAGTACCTGGGGTCTATGATACATAAAATGGGGGTAGATGATGACGTTACACACTGTATAAAGGTGGGATGACTAAAGTGAAGGGCTGCAACTGGAGTTTTGTGTGACAAGAAGGTGGCTCTAAAACTTAAGGGAAAATTTTATAGAATGCCAATAAGACCAGCGCTGTTGTATGGATCAGAATGTTGGGCAATCAATAATGATCACGTAAGGAAGATGGAGGCCGCAGAAATGAGAATGCTTCGATGGGCATGTGGTAGGACTCTATGGGACATGAAACCAAACTCTGCAATTAGGATGTCCATGAGGGGTGCCTGTATCTGAAAAATTGAAGGATGGAAGACTACGGTGGTTTGGGCATGTCCTTAGGCGACAACTGTCGGATGCGGCTAGGAGGGTAGAGTTGATTACAGTCGACGGTGCCAGAAGGAGAGGACGACAAAGGAAGAAGTGGGTAGACTGCTTGAGATCTGATTTGAAAGATTTAGCCCTTACCGAGGACTTGACCTCTGATAGGAAAGTATGAAGACTTAAGACCAAGGTAGCCGAGTAGTGTTGGTCACAACCATAGGGTGTAGCATCTATGTCTTCTTTTTAATGCCTTTGTAGTTAATTTCTAGGACTTTTACTTTTTATACGTTTTTGTCATTGGAATTTATGAAGGCTTATAACTAGGGTAGTGGAGTAGTGTTGCCTTAGTTTAGGTTTTAACCCATTTGACCATATTCCTTCTCGTAGCTTGCTATCGTTGACTTCTGTGTATCCTTCTAACGTTTTCTGTCTATAAGCAGAGATTTTACGCAAGGATTTATTTGCAGGGATTACTTCCCATTACAGATGCGCATATGAAGACTGCATATGAAGAATGTTCAACTATATATTTATTGATTTATTTATACATGCATTTTATTTTATCTTTATTTTTATTTTCTCACTGCCGAAGGTCTTCCACGGAAGCTACTCCAACCTGGCGTTGGGGACAACCTACTATCCCCACCTCCCCCTTACCCCATTGCATATGGGAATAGGGTTTTGTTGTTGTTGTTGTATCAATTTAACTCTGACTTTTATCATTTAACTCGTAAATATTTTCATAATTTTACTCGTACAAAGACGCCGTAATAAATTTATTCCTCTCAAGTGTATTTCGATAAATCATCACATGAAAACATCTTATTAGGCTCATTTAATCATTACAAATTATTTTCAATTTTCTTTAATTAATTTAGAATATAAATTAAGCTTAATCTAATCCTAGGTATCAATATCAAGTAGATGATATCAATACCCAATAAATAATGATATTCTTGGATAGTATCGATACTAATTTGACACATTAAAATCTAACATTTCATCTTGATATCGATATCAAAGATTAAGTACTAATATCGAAAAACAATATTGATACCCCATGAGTATTGACACTCTCTTCATCATTTGTCCAATTTTAGTAAGTGTCTAACCCCTTTTTAGGTCCTAAGACCTTATACCGATCTCATAAAATCATTATCATATTTTAAGACACTACCGATAAGAATTTACCACAATATGATTGTGTAATCACAAGTCATCGAATGTGTTTACAGCAATACTAGGCCCTTTAATCCTTAATTAGATATACTAAGAGTATTTTTGATAATCTTACTCCCATAGAGATTATCAAATCTAAGACTCATATTATAAATTTGATCAAATTTAAAAAAGTATATACAAAATATATTAATTTTACATAAATTCCACTCAACTTAGCTCATGAAATCTCTAACAACTATAAGAGAATTTCTTCAAATATGGAGTATAAATAGATTTTTTTCCAAATTATATTTTTCACCAAACCTTAATAATTGTTTTTCCCGAATTTAAATATTACAATCATATCCTTCTATTAAATAATACTTTATATTTTATTTTTCAATTTTAATATTTTAATGGGTAAAGTACACAAATATTCCCCGATAATAGAGTGTTATTTTGTTGAATCTTTCGAATATAGGCGGAGGCGGGTGGGGACAATTGCCCACCCTAAAAATCTTAAATTACCATAAATATTAGATTTTTTTCTTTGTATTTTCAATTGAAAATCGTTTTCGCCCCCAAAATTTTTATAATTCCAAGTTCACCCCTAACTTAAAACCATGCGTCCATCCCTAGTTATAGTGCTGACGTGGCAGCCCACGATGTTGATGTGGCAGACTACTGTGGCTGATGACATGGCAGATGAGCTAAATTGGTTTTTTAATTTTGTTCGAGGACCAAATTGATTTTTTTATAAAAAGTTCAAGGGCTTATTTTATTTATTTAAAAAATTAAAAAATATTTTAAATTATAAATATAAAAATATTTAAATATTCAAAAAAATAAAAATAGTGAAAATAAAAATTGAATTATTAAAATATTGTATATTCATATCAAAAATATTATAAATATTATTAAAAAAATTGAATATTTATCATAAGTTATAAAACGATAACTTATAAATTATCAAAAAAAATTAAATTTTTTTTAAAAAGATATATTATACATATCATATGCATGTAACATATATACATATTATCAAACATTTATACAAAGAATTCTTACTGGATTAATAGAGAATTATAAAATTTAAATTAGTTGAGACTTATAATTTTTGGATTAGTCTAAACTAATTATGTTTTCTAATTACTTTTTTTGTAAGTCTCCAATAATTTAAAAAATAATTATATAATAAATTTTGAAATAAAATATAAATAGAATACATAGTAAATTCTGACAAATCCAAAATTTGTAGATCTTGACTATTTAAAATTTGTAAATCTTGATTAATCTAGTAAAAATAATTTTTGTAAGTAATGATGATATGCATATATATTACATGTATATATTATGTATAATATATCTTTTTAAAAACATTTTTTATTTTTTTGATAATTTATAAGTTATCATTTTATAATATATGTTCAAAAATTAAATTTTTATAATATTTTTAGTATTTTTAATATTGATATTCATTTTTTTAATAATTTAATTTTTAGTTTTAGTTTTTGTATATTTAATTTTTTGAATATTTAAAAATTTTATATTTATAATATAAAATATTAAAAAATTAAATAAGTCTTTGAACTTAAACAAAACCAATTTGTCTCTCGAACAAAAAAACAATTTAGTTCATCTGCCACATCATCATCGTAAATCGCCACGTCAACATTATAACAGTCAACGACGAAAAACGTTGATCAGAGGATAATGTTGAGTTTATTTTTTGAGTTGAAGGGTCACATTGAGAGAAAAATAATATGATTGCAACATTGGGGTTTTTCTTTAAAAAAATATCGGGGTTTAAGTGCCTTTTACCTTTAATATAAGGTTTAATATAAAAATAAATGTCTAAACTATACCTCAAAATATAATTTTGATGCTTAAATTTTTTTTCGCTAAAAATAAATGTGTAATGTTGGAACTTTTAGGTGCTTGAATCGTAACGATTATTAAATTTGGTCGTTGTACTACTCTTTTTTTTAAGTTCTTTTTAAATTAAAAATATTATTAATTTAAAAAATCCAAAATTTTGAAAAATTAAAAAAATCCCATAAATTTTAAAATTCTTCATTCCAACCCTCGTACCAGTCGTCGCCACCACCACCTGCCACCTTTACCATTATTGAATGGCCGCCCTTTCGTCGCATGACTTCTTAAATCTGTAAATCCCTAAACTAAAAATCCCTAACCCTAAATTTAATGAAGGAGGGATTTGGCTGAGATTTAATCTCAATAATTCCGATGGTTCGGACTGGGGAAGGGGGTTCGGCAGCGGCGGTGACCATGGACGAGCTTCGTCGTTCTTGCAGCCATTTTTTTTCTCACCATTTTAACAGATCGAGGAAAGGGAGGGAAAGCTGCTACGAGGGGGGGGGGCAAAGGGAGACGGGGGGAGGTGGGAGGTGGGATCCACCCTTTCTTCCTAAAGAAATTATTGTTTTTAATACTTTTATTTTTAAAAATAAAAAATAATATTTTTATTATTAAATTTTTTTATAAAAAAACTTATTAATATAATCGCTTAAAAACATAACGAAAAAAATATTATATATCTAAATAAATATTTTTTTAAAATATAATTTAGAAATTTATTTTTTTATTAAACCTTAATTTAAACCTTAGTCAATAACCGGTCCCGAACATGATCAGAAGTACGAAAGAAGCTCCTCACCGTCATACCCCACCCCCTCCTTAACTTTCATCTTGTATATGCCTTCTCACTTCGCTTCCAAACTCACTTCAGTTCTCGCTCTCTTTCTCCAACATGAAGCCACCACCGCTCTTCCTCCTCCTCCTCCTTTTCCTTTTTTCTACCACCACCACCTCTGCCGCCGCTTCCACAACAAATGTCACCAAACCTGCTACTCCAACACTCTCCCCAACGCCACCCACCACCAAAGGTCCCTCTTCTTCCTCCTCTACTCTAGACCCCAAGCAAATTCGAGCACTTCAATCCCTCAACATCGCCACCGCAAGAGACCCTTGCGTTCAACCTTCCCCTAACAACGCCACCGTCTGCGACACCTCCAAGCCTTTCCGCCACCTCGTTTCCCTCCACCTTTCCAACTGCTCCTCCAACGTTTCCCTCTCCTCCGCAGCTCTCAAGTCCCTCTCTTCCCTCCACTCCCTCTCCTTCACCAACTGCCACGCCTCCCCCATCCGCTTACCTTCCGATCTCTCTTTCTCCTTGACTTCCTTCTCTTGCATTCACTCTCTCCGCCACCTCACCGCCGTCTGGCTCTCACGATTCGTCAACCTCACTGATCTTACAGTTTCCTATACCCCAATCAACACTCGCGGTCTTTATGTAATCCTCGGAAACATGCATAAGCTCAAGACTCTCACCATTTCCCACGCAAATCTTTCCGGTTCCCTTCCGAGACACCTCCATCTGAATCTTACCCATGTTGATTTATCCAACAACAAGCTCAAGGGGAAGATACCAACTTCCCTTACCCTTCTTGAAGACCTCGAATTCTTGAATCTTTCTTCAAATGGGCTAAACGGGGTGATTCCCACCGAGTTCGGCGACTTGATATCGTTGAAAAATATATCATTGGCTACCAATTCGTTTTCCGGGACAATCCCGGATTCCATGTCAGCTATTCCAGGCTTGATTCACGTTGATCTGAGTAACAACCAGCTAAAAGGCACTGTTCCGAGTTTTTTCTCTGAGTTGAAAAAGCTGAAAGTTTTGAACCTTGAGAACAATGAGCTTCATGGGGTTATACCTTTCAACGCTAGTTTCATAAAGAGATTGGATGTTCTCAAGCTTGGCGGGAATGGTAATCTGTGTTACAATCAGTCTTCTTTGTCATTGAAAATGAAAATCGGGATTGCTCCTTGTGATAAGCATGGCTTGCCGATATCGCCGCTGCCTTCTAAGGAGTCTTCGAGAGACAGTGGGAGTGAGTCTTCGGATTATGGCGATGACGACAACGACGGTGGTGGTGGTGGTGGTGGTAGTGCCGACAATACAAGTGAGAAAAAGGAACATCATCACGGACCAAACAAGGTTGTGCTGGGTGTTGCTATTGGGGTGTCTTCAATTGTCTTCCTCATTGTTTTCTTGCTGCTTCTCTCAAAATGGTGTGGTTGAAAGAGGGATAAAAACAAGAACTTTTGATTATTGAACAGGTTCTTAGAGCAGAGGTAATTGATATTTGATACACTTGATTTATGAGAAAAAAGGGTGACTATGGACTATGGGTGGAATTTTGTGGGGAAAAAGAAATCAGTTTGAACTGTGATAATTTTTTACTGCGTTTTTGGTCATTGAATGGTTAAAACAAGAGTGATTTCCATTTTTCTGTTGTATGAAGTGAAGGCATGCAATGCAATTCAAAGTAATTCATATATTTTTATTCTTCTTGATCTTCATGCATTTGTAATCTTTACACCATTTTCACAGTGTTAACCATTCTGATAATTCGTTGTGTTTTTTGTTGTTGTGCTTCACGTGGTCATGATGTCTTTAGTAATGCAGCCACGCCTGTTGCTAATTATGTTGTTCCAACAAAAAGTTTTCGTGCCTCCAAAGATTTTTCAAATATATAAATAAGAAAAGATTTGTTGTTATCATGAAAGAGATAATGGGTACAGGCCAAGTTGGTGGTTGTGGTGGATGAACTTGTAGATGTTAAATTATTGGGGGTAAAAACGATGAATCGTTATGAATGATCCATCTGGTTGATGGATGCTGTCATAGTTTTTGGCTTGATGTTTTAAAATGTTGAGGTTCCTTCTCACTAAAATTGGAGTTTCAACCATGTAAATGGCCAGGCTTCCTCAAATCTTTCCATTGATTGAAGGAGTAGTATTCTTTTCAGAGATCTCGAGATGGAGAAACCATGTCTGTGATATGTGTGCACCCTATCATCTTATAAACACTTTTATATCATATTTTCTTGAGATTTTGGAGAAATGGAAACCAAGAAAGCTCTTGGAGGAAGGCATGTGATGAAATCATGTTGATCAAGGAAGCAAGTGATGTTAATCATTATGGCCATTATATTTACCATTCCCCTTTTTTCTCTTTATAAAAGAGCAGAGAAAATTGAGAATCATCATGGGTTGCTCATCATTCAACGACACTTCAAATTTTCAATATTTATTCAACCTCAAGTGGGGACAGTGCTTTTACTGCCCATACCATAAAACCACCCTGCCAGCTGATGTAGCCTCGTTCCAATTAATGAAGTTAATTTTTAAGGTTTTAGCCCAAATGCCAAAGCTCAGTGTGCCTATATAAGTGCAGTCTTATTCCTGACAAAATGCTCAATACCAGATATCACTCGGCTACGTCCTACAAAGATTCAAAGAAAAGGAGTTCATTGAATAATACAAAAGGCTGCCAACTGACAAATACGATTTACTGTCAGTATCTCCTCTGTTAATTAATTCATGCTCTTGGATATTCCTATGTTGGAATTACGGTGCAATTGAAATAAGGGAGTCACCCAACCTATTACTTTATTTTATAATTTTTTAAATAATTTTCTTTTAATTTCCAAGTCTCTTTCATCAATCATCAGTATTTTTAAATGATCTTTTCGGACCAATAAAACCAATATATTTGAGCAGAATTTGAACCTATGCTCTCTTGGGTAAGAGGTAAACATCTGGCCACTGGGTTAAATATATTGTTTGTGATTGATTTACAAAAATTTATATTTAGCTTATACTTTATTGTCATCACAAAATAAATTTATAAATGTATTAAGGTTTTAAAAAACGATCCGCGACTGTTATCTATTTTATTTGGAAGGAGAAAAATCGAAGACTGTTATAAAACATTAGTAGGAATGGGGAAGTCAATTTCAAGTTCTATTGTTGAAATCATTAGAGTTAGGACCTCATGGAGATGTATAGAAAGAATTTATTCATAATTCTTTTCTTTGTATAGCTTGGGGACATTCGGTATTGAGTATCCTAAAATACTTGTTCCTTTGTAGGAATCTGCTGCTTCTTTGGATATAAATATGAAAATTTTCTCCAAAAAAAATTTACAAATTTGGAAGAATCTAGACCAAAAAAAGGTGTCAAAGCATTGAGATGGACAAGTCGCATCCCTAAGAAAAGACACGGTGAAGGGAAGTAGGTTCCTGCAACAACAGCGGATTTCAATTTATCGAATCCACCATCTAATTTTATTAAGAGATCGCCAATCCCACACCCAACAGCCCCTAGAACAAACATTGCTGAGGGTAGCATCACAGTGATGTCGAGTGATGAAAAGGTCACAGTTGGCAAACATGGAGAAACCAGACAAGGTTCCAGATAAAATGGAGGATTTCAGATTATCAAGGCCAGTCCCCAGAACAAGGAATCTCAAGGGAAATATCGAAGCAGTGTCGACTGCTTGATGGATCATAGTTCGCAAACATAGAGGAACCAAATCTTCCAGATTTGAAAGAACTAGCAAATAGTAGAGGAATCAAGGGTTACTCCAAAATGGGGGAGAATGAACTTCAATCATTGAGGTAAAAAGAGAAGGGAAACTAATTTCCCCCCAACCCCCCTTTTCTCCTGTTGTCAAATGCTAAACCAGCAAAGAAAGTACTTTGGATTTTCAAGTCAATCATAAATCTATTCAGAAAAAACAAAAAAGCTGATACAGAAAATAGTCAAAATCAAATAACCAAAACAACTTAACTTGCGACTGCTATCCCTAAGCTCCAATATTTTGAGACTTGTTAAGGATGACACCTTCATATTTGACCTGGAACCACTTCATGGCATCTTCCTTGGTAACTCTGTGCTGAATTCCAACACGTGACTTACACCTGCGACGACGACCAACACGGTATCCAGCCCGTTCCAAGACAACATAGAAATCCATACCATAAATACCAGTTGAAGGATCATACCTAGAAAGTGAACAATAGTTAATTTATACCTTCATGGAACATATCAATATTGAATTTGAATGTAACAAACAACATAATAAAGCTACCGAAAACTTTTAATTAACTCCTTAATGAGAATAAAGGAACAGATATCCACATCCCTTTCATGCCATCTAAGTAATGCTATAAAGAGCGGTATGTAAGTAATGCTAACAAACAAAAAAGCTACGTTGTTGCATCCTAACATCAACCCCATCCTATAAAGCATTACAGGATACAAAAAATGTATTTCAATTTAAGTAAAATATTAATTTAATCATAAAGTTCCAAAACCGATAAAAGATCCAAACCTATAAGAAAAATTCAAACATAGCTCAATTAAGATAATTCTATTTAATGATAAAGTTTCAAACCCAAGTCTCCAGAATGCAGTAGAAATGTAAAAACACCAATCGAAACAAGTAAAAATTGATAAAGAGAAAGAAGAATAACTTACTTGATACCAAGATCAATGTGCTCCTGGATACCGAATCCGAAGCATCCAGTATCACTGAAGTTTCTCCTCAAAAGTTCATACTCCTTAACCTTCAAACCGCTCTCAAGAAGCTGCATAGCCTTCTCTCCCCTAACAGTCACGTAGCATGCAATCTTTTCGTTACGCCTGATTCCAAAAGATCTCACAGTGTACCTAGCTACTCACATCAAACCCGCATTTTGACTTCCATTAACAAAATAAAACAAAAAAAAAGGAAACTAAAAGGCATCATTTCGACTTCCATCATTTTACCCTTGGAGAAGACGGGGGTTTGACCACTGAGTTGTTCCAAAACCTAAACAAGAGCAAAATATATTAAACTAATACTAATTAAACCATTTGAAATATTAAAAAAATCGATTTTTGGTTAGGGCTTGAGTTGGTTACCTTGGCGGCGCGTGTGAGACGATCACCGCTTTCACCGACGGAGATGTTGAGGACAAGTTTTTGGACTTTAATCTCCCTCATTGGGTTGGATAGCTTCTTCTCCGATGCCTTTTCATAGTAACAAGAAAGAATAACATAAGAAGTCAAATAGACATGTAATTTACACAAAGCAAAAGACGCGTGAATCAAAAAATGAGATTGAGAGAAAGAAGTGTACCATGGTGAAACACAGAAGGTTGAGAGCAGCGGAGGACACACAAAGATGGCAATTGAGTTGGAGATTGGAGAATAAAAACCAAAGGAAATGAGATTTCAGGGCTAGGGTTTTATATCTGCTATGTGTGCCCTCTGCTTTTGGGCCCTAAAATGTCATAATAGGCCCATGAGATAATCGCTTTCATTCTATAACTATACGCCCAAATAGTTACGAAAAACTTTAGGATAAACTGTCAAAATGATCAGTTATTTTTTTATATTTGAATATTTTTACTTTCAAATTAAAAATTTTTGATTTTTTTCACTTATGTTAGCGTTTTATTAATTTTTGGACGCTTAAATATAGGAATGAACACGGACCGACTCGTTCTAACCCAACTCTACTGGATCAGGTGTTTTAAGAAAAGAAAAAAAATCGGGTCGGGTTTAAGTTTGGATTTAGGGTGAAAAATATATGACTCACAAATAATATAATTGTACCTTATATATTTAGGGATAATTGCAATAATCTTCATCTCTATATTATCTTTTTCAATTAGGTCTTTATTTTAATGATTAAAATTCATACCTTTTATATATATATATATATATATATATATATTTGTTTCTGGTCGAGTTTAGATTTAATCTAAAAAGACAGATCGAGTTTTGGATCGGGTGAAGTCACCCTAAACATGGGTCGAGACAGGTTTCAAATGAAGGATATATATTTTTTAGGTCGGGTCAGGTTGACCATAAATCCAATCCAACCCGTGTCTATCCCTATTTAACTATTAAATATTGTTAGTTTAATGTTATGATACGTTAATAAAATAATTTGATTTTTATTATATTCATGTATTTTAGATAAATTAATAATGGACGTTTTTATAAATGCAATGCTTACTGTTGAGTTCTCTAGGGAGGAGGTTTACCAAGCTTTCCAACAAATCGACCCTCATAAAACGCCGAGACAGGACGGCCTACCTGCCATCTTTCATCGAGCTTTCTGGTCACTTTTTAGAGAAGAGGTGATCGGTCTGTACCTCGATTTGTTAGCTGGCCACGCTGACATGGCCGCAGTGAATCAAACCATCCTAGTTCTTCTACCAAAGTTTAATAATCCCACGTTGATGCAACATTTTCGTCCCATATCGCTTTGCACAGTGATTTATAAAATTGTGGCAAAAGTTCTGGTATTTCGGTTGAAACCGCTCATGCCGCATTGTATTTCACAAAATGAGAGAGCATTTGTTCCGGCCTGCATATATCTAATAATGTATTGATTGCTCATGAGCTTTTTCACTATTTATAATCGGCTCCGACGGGTATTTCTCAGGGTTTGGCTGTGAAGTTGGATATGGCGAAGACATACGACCGAGTGGAATGAGCTTTTCTCCGTGCCATCATGTTACGGTTGGGATTTACATCTAGTTGGGTGGATTTAATTATGTCCTGTGTATCGACAGTTTCGTTAAGTATCGGGGTAAATACTTCTCTTTCTGAAAGTTTTCATTCAACCTGCTCGGGGATTGCGGCAGGGTGACCCTCTGTCGCCCTTCTTATTTCTTTTTGTGTGCAAGGTTTATCATCACTGCTATTTTTTTTAACAGTTCCTCGTCGACTTGCTGGCCTTCGATTTTATCGAGAGGCGCCCCCGTTTCACACTTATTATATGTTGATGACTGTATTTTGTTTATCCGCCCATCTAAACTTGAGGCTTACAGACTCTGGTACATCCTTCAGTAATATGTAGTGTCGGGGCAGCAAGTAAACTTGGCGAAATCAAGTGTTTATTTCAGCCCCACTGGGACGAATCTAGATTTGCGGTTAGGTATTTCTCAGATCTTGGGAATTCAAGACTGCGGACCCTGGATTATATTTTGGGTGTGCCATTACTTATTGGCCGGAATAAAAAAGCAGTATTCGACTACTTGAAAGATAAATCACTACGGCGCACTAGGGGCTGGTTGAAACGGCTCCTGTCCTATGGGGGACTCGAAGTTTTCACCACGGCCGTTGGCCAGGCTTTGCCCATCTATCTGATGAGTTGTTTCATGATACCGGACGGTGTTTTAGGAGACCTTGTCGAATTTTGCGGTAGTATTGGTGGACTAGGAGCTCATCTCGACGTGGATGGCCCCTTCTCTCATGGTCCAGCCTCTGTATGCCGAAGCGAGCTGGTGGACGTGGATTTCGTGATTATCATCATTTTAATATGGCCTTGCTTGGGAAGCATATCTGACGATTTTTCGGGGATCCTGATAGCTTGATATCCAAACTATTTTCGGCCAGAGACTTTCCGAATGGTGACTTGATGAATTCCAGATTAGGGAATCGTCCGTCTTATGCGTGGAGAAGTGTTCATCATGCAATGTCCTCGTTATCAGTCGGATGTTTGTGGAGAGTGGGTATTAACAGCAGTGTTCGTTTACACCAGGACCGATTGGGTAACTCAACTCCAATTCACTTTGATTCAGAGTACGTGGACAGTGGGATAAATCCAGTTCGTTAAGGTGAATTCCTGCAGCCAGGTTCACCTACATAGGATGTGTAGCGAGTACAGGCTGTATTTTCACCTATTGATGCTACCCGTATATTGTCGATCGCTATTGCGCCTTTGGCTGGGGATATGTTCATTTGGGGTGGCCACTCTTCAGGAGTTTATTCCACTAGGTACGGCTACCATTCGGAAAGTTCGCGTCCGTGAATGAGCCAGTCACACATGATTATCGTCGACCCTAAGTTATGCTATGCTCTTTCAACTGTGCAACCATGCCCAAAGTTCGCGTGTTTGGATGGCGCTTATCCCATGAAGCTTTGCCTGTAGGACAAAGACTGCACATGATCTGCTACGGGGAGGATGGCTTATGTCCTTTTTGCAGGGTTTGCTCGGAATCGGTTGTGCATGCTTTTAAATAATTTCCTGACACAGTTTCCATTCTGCAACAGTCGAATTTACCTGGGTCAACATTTACAATACGACCTGCTTTGACTGGGGCTTGGTTGAGCTACTTGCTGATGATCCTTGAACCTTCTCGTTTTGCGGAATTGTTTTCCTCTTATATGATATTTGGCGTCGCCGGAATATATACGTGCATGAGGGCCGCCTTATGCCTGGTTGGCATATCATGTTGGAGTCTCATTCCACTCAAGCAGCTACTCGAGGCCAACGCACACTCAGATCCTCCTTCTGTCCAAACTGGAGCCCGATGGAGTAAACCGACGCAGGGGGTTCTCAAAATCAACGTTGATGGTGCTTTGTCCAGCCCCCTGCTAAAGCTGGTGCGGGGGTAGTTGTTCGTAATTACCAGGCCTGGTGGTCACTGGTCAAGTCATACGTTTGCATGGCTGTGGGAATGCAACGGTGGTCGAAGCAAACGCCATCGTTGCCACCGTTGCCGGTCTTTGGTTTACCATCACTCTTGATGGCAATCGGATAATTGTTGAGAATGATTCCCAAAATCTGGTGCGTCAACTTCACAGTCGTCGGATTGATCTTTCGGTGGCCTCATTTCATCTCGAGGAAGCACATAGCCTCTTATCCTCTCATGCCCATATCTCGGTTGCATATGTCTGACGTTCTGCAATCCATGCAGTGCATGACCTAGCTCAACACGCATCGACTTTATATACATCGTTGTATTTCGATTATGAATGTTCGGATTTTCGTGCTTCGACTGTACTAACTGATGCCGTCTTTGGCTAATTAATATATCGTTCCTTTCAAAAAAGAAAAAAAAAAGAGTAAATGTTCAATGTACCCTTCTTGTAATATGCTTTTCTTACATGAAAACCCAAATTTTCCCACTTGTGCCGCATACCCTGTCGGCAGGGACTGCCCTGGGCCAGGGCAGGCAGGAGGGACGCCCGCCCGGAGCCCACAAAATATAATTTTTATTACAATATTTTTTTTTTATTTTTTTTGATAATAAATTAAAATTTGTAAAATAAAATAGAGTAATATATGAATTTAGTACTTAAACTATTAGTTCTGATCCGTTTTGTTACTTAATTTTTTTTTCAAAATCATATCTAATGTTTAATTTTCATTTCATTTTAGTATCCGTCGTTAAAAACTTAACACGTATAGTACCTGACTATCATTTGTTTGTTTGTTTTAGTACCTAAAATTTCAAAAAAAATTAAAACTTAACATTAAATTTTGAATGTGTACTAAAATGAAATAAAATGGCTAAAGTTTTTAACAGTGGGTACTAAAATGAAACAAAAACTAAACTTTACGTATGTTTTAAAAAATTAAAAGTTTAGGTACTAAAACATACCAAAATTGATAATTTAGGTACTAAACACGTAATTTACTCAATAAAATAATGAGGCCCATAAATTTATTAAGGTGACAATTATCTTTATTGAATTTTATATTAACGTTAATAAATTGTTCTTCCATAAAATTCTAATTTAATATTTCTTTCTCAAAATTAAAAAAAATCAATTGAACTCTTTAATTTTTGTCTTTCCAAATTTCCACTATCAATTCACTAAATCTTTTTACCGAATTTTCATATCAATAAAAAAAATTATTAACATTATTTTTTTAAAAACTTATTGAGAGGAAAAAATTTAAGTATAATTAACATGCTTCTTTTCTCTTTCATGTTTCATGATTCATCTGGAAATTATTATTCTCATTTTTTAATTTATTATATTTCTCTCACACGTAAAGTCACAATTGTTTATTATCAATTACGGTACTTGAATCATATTGAAGATTGTTCTTAAAATTCTAGGTAGATCACATTTACAAATTCTTTATTTTAATTTTATATATTTTCAAATTCTAGATAAGATCGTTCTTTTATTTTCAAATGATATGTTATGTATTGAGAAAAATATATTAGAAAGCATTGATGTTGATACTATTATCAATGGTTTTACATAAAAAATGATCGAATGTAAAACTTTTTATAAGTATTTGTATTCTTAAATATATTTTTTTGACATCTTTTATATTAGAATGAATTACTATTGTTTTAATTTAATAAAAAATCTAATAAAATTTTTATATTACATATTTCTTAATTTTTTTATATTAGGGACTATTTTTTATTTTCTCCCCGAGCCTAAAAATAGTCGGTCCCTATGTTTTTCGTTGTTCATCTTTCCCATCGTCGGTCACTTTTATCCGACTTTGAAACACCCTTTACAAATATATCCGACCCGTACCCCTCATCATTTGATGTTCCTGCAGAAAACATGACCTTTAAAAATGGAAATGGAAGACTACATAGAATATCTCTTACACCACTAAGCAAACAACATTCAGTGCGTTTAGAGAAGGGATTGGGAAGAAGACTAAAAGACACTGTCAAATCACAAATTCTTTTCCATTTCTTTCTCTTTGTCGAGCGAATCTCGACTGCATGATGCAGTCAACGATGAACATTAAACACAATTAGAAACATGAGTTAAGAAGAAAAACCAAACAAAATTCATGTATGTAGTGCCAAGAGAATTGAAAACTTGACAATTGCAAGCACTATATGTAGGACACCTATTTGTAGGGTACCATAATGGTAAAATGAACCTACTCGAAACAAAAGAAAAGCTCTATTTTGTAAGGTACCCAATTACAACTAGAGAATCACTTTTAATCAACAAAAATCTCATTCCTGCAATTATAATTGCAGTGAAATGGTATCAATGTGTCTTTGTCTACCCATCTCTTATCAAAAGTGTGTCCACATGGCCAACTTGGACCGATGATCTTGCTGCAATAAAGAACCCGTTTGCGCCTCTTAAAACTGTCCCAAACTCCATAAATATTTCTCTGGAAAACATGTTATCTCCAAGCTTGATATTAATGGGCATTTAAAAATAGTTTGAGTACGAATTGTTATCTTTGATGTCGTAACTATAAACTCTGGACAATCAGAATTTCGGTCAAAGTACAACCAATTCACAAATCGAATGAATTTACTCGGTTCGTGTCTATTCTAACGACCAGACAAGATAGATGATAATTTATTCGGTTAAAGTACAACCAACTCACAAATCGAATGAATTTGATTTAAGATCACACTCAACTTGAATTTCGAAGCAAATTATTTGATATCCAACTCGAAAAAATCACGTGTAACTTGAAAAAAATAATATATAAAATTTTTAGATTTTTTAAGTTAAATTACTAATAATATTAACATTTATATGTTGTTATAAGACTTCCATGTATTAAGGTTCAGGTATGAGTTTGAGTTTCAATTGAACTAAGTCTAAGAATCTTTCAAGTTCAAGTTTATTCAAGCTCAAATCAAGCTTCAATTTTTAATTTTGAATCGAACTTGAAACTTTTGAGCTCGCGAACATTGGAGTTGAGTCGCGCTTTAAATTTTTATTTCGAGTTCGAATTGAGTTTGATAATTTTAAGCTCATGAACTTTTGAGTCGATCTGGATTCAATTTTACACTTATAATCAAGTTGAGTTTAGCTATATCCAGAGTCAACTCTGCTCATTTACAACCCTCATCTACTCCGACGTCCAATAAACCATTTAGTCTTTGGATGGTGGTTGAAAAAAAAAGACGACGACGTGGTTCTAAGAGAGGCAACGCAACAAAGTCCCAAAATAATTCAAAACTCAACCCCGTTTACTTTCCAGTTTATTCTTGTTTTTGTGAAAACGCGATTGATGGAAGAACGGTCGATCTTCGGGCTTCACCTTTTTCGTCCCATATTATCATGTTATCTTCTTCAATGGTTATAGTATTCGTAGGGTTTGGTTAATTGGGTTAAACTGAAAATTCAAAAGGAAAACAATGTTTGAGCATTGACAAATTCTGTGCGGTGGGTCAAATCTTGAGTCTTGCCTTCCAACTTGTGCTTCAACATATCCTTGATCAACAAGAACTGCTATGAAAAGACTAATGTAGACCAGATTGGATGAATACTAAGTTCTTCCATGCCAAAGCTATCGGTAATAGACGCTGAAACATGATCAGTATTATTTTTAGTACGGAGAGAAAAAGCAAACTAGTGCTAATCTTCACTGCCGTTCAAGGAGGAACCCCTCGCATTTCAGATATTAAAACATCCTGGTTCGCGTCGAGGTGGTGTGGAGGCAAAAAGAGCTAGACCACACTGATTTTGTCATTTTATCTGCCAATCTGTTGCTCTCACGGGTAAACGAACAGAAACTTCAGGTTCCAGTCACAATCAATGAGGTTACGAGGTTCCGGATACGAGGCACCAACGACCACAACCCCGGACAAACTCCAATATGATCAGTAATCTTAAATGGCGGTTAATGTGAAGATGAGGATGTTCTTAAAAAAGATGGGGCCTAGAATTGCTGCTTTTAACGACCGACGATAAAAGGTAATTATTAACGTAAGGGATAGAACCTTAAAGGGGACTAAAAGCATCTTATTTGGACAAACTAATAATAAATCATGAACCCTCAAAATATCATTCCTCTGGATAAGTTTCACAGCAATGACCGACAATATGTGGGACTGCAATTCCACTCCAATGGCTGAGATTCAGAAACTTCAACTTTCATATCAAACTAAACTAATACTGTTGTAGTAGGAAGTTTAATAACATTACTTGGAACAAATAGCAAGAATAATCGTCTTTGATTCGGTAACTAACCACCCAACCCAAGAACCAACTTTAGCCACACGCCCCATTATCTTCCAGCAGCCATATCTATCAGCATTTACACTTTACTTTTTCTTCACTTACAGCTTTCTGGCATATCACCCCCTCTTAAAAGTCATCTTTTACTATCAAAAGCGTTACATACATATACATTACCAAAAAAAAGGCATTTTCACATAATGTAAACTCAGATTAAGAGAGCAGAGACGGAATTTAAGTAGAAAGATGATGAGATAGGGAGAGAGAAGATCATCTGACTGCCAGAGACTGTACGCATCTTGGAAGGGTACAAAATTATGCTGGACAGAACTCGATCCATGGTGGTTATTCAAAGATTTTCCTTCATCTTTGTCATGCATCAACCAGGAGATATATCAAGTCTTATACCACTTTTGACGTTTTACGACCCAGCTAGATGCATGAAATGTTCTAACCCCATTTGCCGTTTCACATGATCCGGAATCAATTTATTAACAAGCTCTGGAGCGGTCCCGGATAACTGTAACCAAAAGAACACAAATGACTGTTACTAACAGCACACTGGCTTGAATGATGAACAAAATTCTAGCTACAACAAAATAATACCATCTAAAACATTTAATGAGAATTGAAAAACATGCTTCCTGTTTAAAGTTGAAAAGGGGTGGCAAGGCTCGTCCATTTGGTAGGCGAGCATTAGGTTCTTGAAGCTCATCAAAGAAGGGATGTGCACATGCTTCAAGATGTCACAATAAAGAGCAGATAACAATAGCATGAGATAGGGAGTAATAACCAGAAATATTGGAAGAGCTAAATCAATAATTGAAGGATTGTGCACATTCTCCAAGTCTAAAAAGGAAAAATTACAATCAAAAGAGAGAAACTACCGACTCACCGCTGTACAGCGAAGACTTGGTGATTATTGCAACAGTCGTGAAGCAAGATCATTTGCTTCAGGAGGCATCCTTTTGTGAAAAACCTATATACATTAAAGTTATAGTGTCAAAGCAATCAACCACTATATTTATAACAATAGTTCAATGTGCATTACACGGAACCGATCAAAATATTTCAGCTGTTAGACCTTGGCAGAGAAGCGCCCAAATCTTTTATACTTAACAAGAAAAAGTGAAACTAGCATATATTCAATGAGCATAATATTCAGAAAGCAATACAAACATGTCACTCACCAATCATTTCAATGAAAAACTCGTAAAAGGACAATAAGAGGCAAACCTTATGCCATGGATGCGCTTTAATCTGTGGAAACCTAAAATCCGTGTAATTCGGATTCATACAGCGAATTTCTTCCCTAGTTGGTGTACCAAGGACCTGTAGGAAAAGATGTAAGAAACAGGTTCATGATATAATATAAAACAAATAACTTCAAGCATAAATAACTAAATAAGAAAATCGAACCTTAATATTCTCTACAAGGTGATCCACAGCATTCTCCCCAGGAAACAATGGCTTAACAAGAAAATTTGGCATGAATGAGCAGAGAAAATTTCAAGAAAGATAAAGAGTATGTTTGTGTGTGTAAAGGAGGCAAACACTGAACTGGCCCAGTAAAAGCTCAGCAAGAACACAACCCACTGACCAGATATCAATCGAGGTTGTGTATTCAGAAGCACCACAGATAAGTTCGGGAGCGCGATAGAAACGTGAACATATGTATGAAATGTTAGGTTCACCTTTGACCTGACCACAAATGATAGTAAGTACAAAGCATTACAGAAAAAAGAAACAACAAAACCGATCATAAACATTTTACACTATTAGATCTAGTCCAATCCTTATTTTTCTTCCCTCCTACAAAGAGGCCACTAATACGGCTAAATAGAAGTGGTGACACTAACAAGGTAAAGAACCAAGCCAGATACGATACAAGGTCAGTTAAAATTTCAAACTTATGAAGTATTTATGATGAATAAAAGAGGGAACAAAGGTTGAACAAGTTTTAGCAGTACAGTTCTTATCATGTTATCACAAATTCATAATGCAGAAGAGCTGCACAATTGAGAAAAAGCAGGCGAGAAAAGTGAAGTAAAACATTTTTTATGCCAGTATAAAACTAAACAATCAAATAACAATCATGGTGTTTAGCTTAAGGTGAAATGAAACTATTCATCGACTAAAACGCCAGTCATAAATTTGAAGAGCGCTCCAAAATTAGTATGGATGGGTTAACTTACAGGCACTTTTACACTTCCAAAATCACAAATCTTAACTTGGTGAGTCAAAGGATCAACCTGTAGAAAGCCAACAATCACATCAGAAACACTGTCAAGAAATTCTACAAAATAAGTAAGAGAAACATACTGCACACCGCATACCAAAATATTTTGAGGCTTCAAATCTCTATGGCAAACTCCAACAACAAAATGGAGGTATGCAACCCCCTGAATATCTGTAAAATCATCTCTAATTAGCATATAGAAGAAAACAAGAAATCAAATAGGGAAAAGACTACCATTCACACCTGGTACATGTAAAGTTTCACATATATAAGCGGCATTCTTTGGTTTGCACCACTATAATGTTTCAAGACTCTATGCATGCTCTCCGGAACATATTCCATGACCAAGTTAAGGAAAAGCTTGTTTTTTTGCTGTCGTGGAAAAGAAACAATGCTTCAAGGAAATCACATTCGGATGATCCAGCACCCACCACATCAACAGCAGTTCACGGTTCATATATCTTCTGTCTTGCAAAACCTCCTTTATAGCCACGGTCTCCCCGGTTTCCAAGCATTTCGCCTGAAAGAAAAGATGCATCGTCATGAAAAATGCCAACAAGTTAACATCAGTGACAGTTTGACCATGACTCGGTACCTGGAAAACTATCCCAAAGGATCCTGTACCCACTACACACTCGGCCATATAACTGATGGTCTACAATAATCAAACAAAAATTATGAGATTGCAAACAAAACAAACCGATTATCATTCATAAGTTAACATTAATCGCATAGTAATCAATAGATAAAGAAGAATTTGAACAGATAAAGAACTCGGGTAAGCCAAGAAGGCACATCGCACATACCTGTTTACGTTCTCCATATTTGCCTCCAATATTTGTCGAAATGATGTGACCGGTGACTGGATCGTTACCATCCACAACAGGGGCAGACATTTCCTGATAAAATAAGAAATTCATTGTAAGAAAAATCTTTTAACAAAAAATGGAGATCCAGAAAAACCAGTTGTTCCCGCTAAGAAAATTATAAATAAAATACAACAAATATTGAAATTATAATCAAAACCCTAAATAATTTGAGGTTACGTGGTTCACTCTCATCTGAAGAAAAATGTCTAAAGCTAAAAAGCACAAATCAAGAAATAAGAGTCAAATAAGTAAATAAAAAGGCAAAATTGCAAAAAAAAAATGTAGAGAAGATTTCACAAAAATCGAAACAAATACAGAGCAAAACTTAACCAGCTAGGGTTCCCTAACTAGCTCAACCAACAAGATCGCCTTATAACATTTTACAGAACAAAAACAACCCATAATCATGAACGAAATTGTCAAAATGAAGAAAAATAAAAATCAAAGATTCACTTCCAAATTCAAAGAACCGTCAAAAAGAAAGTTTACCTTATTATCAGCCATGATGAGCAACCCAGAAATTTAAAAAGAAAGAGAAACAAAACACACAGATCTAATTGCAGAAAGTGCAAGGGTACATCACGCTGAGGCCATTGAAGAAGAAAGAGGATAAAAGATATGATGACGACGACGACGATGAAGTTAGAAGAGAAGAGGAGGGAGGAGGACCCAAGGAGAGACAGCAAACCAATGCCCAATTGATTCCTTTTCTCCCTCTCCATCTCTGGCATTTTTACCGAAATATCATCTGTACCGATAATAATTATCTGTCAGTCATTATCAATTTTAATATTATCGATCTAGCAACACACGGTGATAATAAAGTACGGATCATCATCAGTGCCTTCGAGAAATTTTGTATGAACTAGTGTCACATAAGGAAAGACGCATATCACCAACTACACCTTCATAAGTTTGATCTGAGCTGACGTTACGTAAGGAAAGGTGTAGATGATTATCCGCGCATTCATGGAGTTTTTGACACGAACGAAAGACATAGATGATGATTCGCATCTTTCCTTCAATACTTTAACCGTCTACCTCCCACATTTATGGGAGTTTGTCCTCTCCCTTCTTTCTATAAATATCACATCCAAACACAACCCTCAAATTATGCTCAAATATTAAATTCTCTCATACTTTTAAGTATTATTTTTTCTATTAACAATGTAAAATATTTATATATTATAATTAATCAATAATTTATTATTTTATTAAATTTTATTATACTAATTTTTTATTATTTTTTACAGTTATAAAATAGGATGTGGTTTGTTAGATTTAGATGAAAATTATATCTCAATGCATTTTTTTGATACGGTAATAATTTTAAATTCTGTTGTAATTTTAATTGTTGTGAATGTTTTATTTATTTAATTTTTAATATTAGTTTATATTTTAATTTGTATTATATTTATTAAATTAGGAGAGAGAACATATACTAGATCCATTCATTCGTAACCTTAAATTAGAGATACATACTCGTGTATGGTCGTATTTAGTCGAAGCTAGATTCGATTATGTAGCGAAATATGAAGGACGCTATAACATTGAATCCAACATTATTTCTGTATTGGTTGATAGGTGGAGACCAGATACACATACATTCTATCTCCCGTTTGAAGAGTGGACAATTACGCTAGAAGATGTTTTCATACATTTTGGGCTTCCGGTAAATGGGAATATGATTTCTGGGGTGGCGGATGGTGACTGACATTCTTTGCGCGAGGAGTATCTTAGAGGTGTCCAACCTAATTTCAAAAGTATTTGAATGCCATTAAATTAGTTGTATACAACTTTTAAACATTTGAGTCGCGACGCCTCTGAGGAATATATTAAAATGTATACACGGGTTTTCATATTACAGTTCATACGAGCGATATTGATGTCCGACAAATTATGTAACCAAGTTCATAGGAGTAAAAGCCAACTTCAAAGGTTGAAAATTGATTGGAAACATTTTCTTTGCATGTGTTTGTTTGAATTCTCAAATTCTGGACTTATCTTTCGTTATCATTTTCCTAATGAAGATGTTGGGATTTACTTAATCATGGTTTTGTTTAGATTTCAGTTCTTTTCTCAGACGAAATATTTGAAACACTTTGATAATTGTTCTTGTTTTATTCTTGAGCTTATTTTCAAAGAAGAAAATACCTTACGTCAGAGGCTAGATTTTCCGTATAAGAAGTGACGTCAAGGGATGCTATTAAGATGAGGCTGCAGAGCATATTAGTGGGATCTTAAGCGTGAGGTGTAGGATCAGTTACAAGTCCAAGTCATTTATTGCAATTACAAAAAAAAGTTATGAAATCTGGTCAAAAATAGTAACTACTCTTTATCTTTTACTTTTTATAGGCCCTATTTTCGTATCTAGAGCATCCTATATAGACCAGGGTCATGGCTGATTCAGCTTTCATCCAACCTTAAATTTGGACAGCTTTGATCCCTGTGTCATGCAGCCATTTTAGCCAAAATTTCAGCAAATGTAATTGTTGCATTAGGGGCTGATTGTTTATTTGGAGATGATATTCAAATGTTGAATGATTTAAGAGTTTTGTATGAATTAGGCTTGGATATGACTATAAATCATTCAGACTGTATTTTTGTGTTGAATCATTCAATATTATTTTGTTGAATCAGTCAACACTGAATCATTCATAAATACAAAACAAACGCGCTAAATGATTTCATTAAGAGACAAACAAACAACCCCTTAACTTCAATATTTTTTCCCTTCATTTTAAGTTGTTCTCTTCCCCTGTAAAAACCGAGACATTTTCAGTAGTTTGAACAATTAAAAGTAAGCTTTTCTAAAATAAAAAATCATTATTTGCATTCACTCTCTTAAAGTTTTTGTTACTATTTAATTATTACGATAGAAAAAAACAATACCACTTTTGGTCCATTTTAGATTCTGGGTGTATATTTTCTAGAGAGACTATGTTTACTAAGGCATCGTCCGGTGAAATGATTACATCAATTGGGATATATTTATTTCAAAGGTATTAGTTTACCACGAAGCAATTTGCGAATAATTTCTTTCCTATTATTTTATTTATTTATTAGTTAGTGTTATGTGGGTTTTGTAGTAATATTTCCAATACTCTCAACACTAGAGATATTAGATTGAGAACTAACACTTAGGGTATGTTTGTTTAGCTGTAATTGGTTTTCCAGAAAATGAATTACTGGAATTTGAATTACTGGAATTTGAATTATTGGAAAATGAATTACTGGAATTTGAATTATGGAAAATGAATTACATTTCTGTAAAATGAATTACATTTCTGGAAAATGAATTACATTTCTGGAAAACATCTGGAAAACGTTTTATGATGTTTGAAAGATGTTATTTAAACATTTTTTCGGTATATTTTAGTGAAATAAAATTTTATAAATTATATTTAATTATTTATTAAAGTAATAGTACTATATTATATTTTAAAAATATTAATTAGTATATTTTAATATCTTTACTAAAATATTATTGAAATATATAAATAATATTATTCATTATTAAATATATAAAAAAATTTATTATATATATTAAAATAAAAATAATATCTTATATTATATTATTATAATAATTGATTATTTTATATAATATTAAAAATATAATATTATATTATAAATATTAATAAATATATTTTAAATATTTTAATAATTAATATTTTGATGAAAATGATATTAAAATATTTTATTAATATTAAATTCATAAAATAAAATTATTTTGAGTATTTTTGGTTTGAAGTGAAAAGTTCGGAAAATGACTTACGGAAAATGAATCCGTAAGTCATTTTACAGAAAACACAAAGGAAATTCTGTTACTAGGAAAATGAATTACATTCCGGAAAACGAATTACGTGAAACAAACACGGGAAAACGTTTTCCGGAAAACGAATTACGTGAAACAAACACGGGAAAACATTTTCCGGAAAACGAATTACGTGAAACAAACACTGGAATTCGGGGAAAACCAATTCCGTAATTCGAATTACGGGAAACAAATAGACCCTTAGGCTTAGTTTGTTTTTACTGTGCAACCTCTTCAAATCTCTTATATTTGCGCCGCGCAGACATTAGGATTCGCAGACCGTTTGTTTTTTAGAAGACAAAAGCTCTTCAAACGTCTACGAGAGCTCTTCTTAGTGCAGACATAGTTTTATGTCTTTAAAGGTCTTCAAAGGTCTGCGGGAAAATTAAAATCATTTAAATATATTTTAAATTTTATTTTAAAATATAGAATGATTTATTTTAAAATATCGATTGATTTATTTTAAAATATGAAAAAATTTATTTTAAAATATAGATTGATTTATTTAAAAAATATGGATTGATTTATTTTAAAATATGGATTGATTTATTTTAAAATATGGAAAATTTTATTTTAAAATATTGATTGATTTAATTTAAAGTATGGATTGATTTATTTTAAAATATGGATTGATTTATTTTAAAATATGGAAAATTTTATTTTAAAATATGGATTGATTTATTTTAAAAAAATTATTATTGTAGTTGTATGGATTATTTAAATTTCAGTATTATAAAACTAAAATTATTTAAATTTCAGTACTGCAAAACTCTTTTAAGTTTAAAAAATCAGTTTATTTTATATTTCAGTTTATTTTAGCAGTCTGCAGACGTTAAAAATCAAGCAGTCTTCTTCTTGCAGACTGCAGACTTTTGGTCCACCTCTTCTGCTGCAGATGTCTGCAGATATGGTCCGCAGACTGCAGACCTTTTACCTCTTCAAAAACAAACACCACCTTAGTCTACCATAAGATACATTATTCAACAAATTATAATGATCATATAACTTATTTAAAGTTTATTTTATAGTTTCACTACGCTGCTCAGCTATCTTATTATTCATAAACTTCTTCAATCATAGAGATTACATAATCCATCTTTTGTTTAGGATCTAAAATCATAAAAATGAATAAAAGTGAATGAGATTTTTCACATTTTCCCAGTATATGTGATTTTTTCCATCATATTTTTTGTTATAAGTTTTATACTTAAGTTTAGATCATTTAACTCGTCATTAATTCTCATTTTAATACCAAATACAACATAAAAATAATAATGGCTAGTAACATCGAAGAACCAAACAATTTCGATTTAACGTCATAAAAGACTTTAAAATGACAATAAAGAACAAGCATACTCTCAATCTAAGTCAGTAGGTAAAATGACAATAAAGAACAAGCATACTCTCAATCTAAGTCAGTAGGTAGTGCCTTCATTTTGCACTTTGAAGCTCATCTTTATACTTCAATTCTTGCTGCCCTAACCTATCAAAAGATGTTTCAAATTTCAAAGACACCATCTAACATTAAAAAGGTTGAATTCCATCTAGTTTCAACATCTAAGATAACTAAACCCTTCTCTCAATAATCACTATACCTATAAGTAAAAATTCTTATAGAGTAAGAATTCTTGTGACTAACTTTGTTTTCTTTATAAATATATATTCTTTTGGTGATTTTCATAACTATTAGGGTCTATGTTACAATGTTAGTTTTGTAGGGATATTAAAATAATTTTTTGGATATTCCAAATTTTGGGATATATATATTAGTTATGTGATACAAGAAATTTCATATTGTTATATTTTCAAAGATACATCCCAAACCTACCAACTCTCCGCCAAAAAAGATCCCAGGGAGATAATTAAATCTTGGTAATGTCTTTACTCT